ATTATCAGAAATCTTTAGTAGGAACATACAGGCATCAGAGACAGAAGAAGCTAATTACCAATTGATCAGTAGCATCTGAGTTCCATAACGCCTCACCCTCATTCTGGCCACAGCTCTCCCCGTCTCCTTTGTTGTGCATGGGAGGAAAGTGGGCCCACTGAAATATTAAGACATGCTTAGGAAATGACATCCCTATGCACCTTGTACCGTGTAAAATTAAAAAAAGTTTTATTTTAATATATCCAAGGATAAGATTAAATATTTTTTAAAGATTTTATTTGTTTCTCTCGTCTTTATATTTATTGAAATGAATACTTAAAAAATATGTAATTTTTTTTTTGTTTTACATCATGTAAATTGGTCTCTTCTTTTATACATACATACATACATATCTATATATATACAGTAGATAACAAACATGTACAGGAAAGGATTGGTTTGTTTTGTTGAACCGTTTTGGTTCTAAAACTTACATTTTTTGCTGCAGTGCTGAAAGCTTCTTTGTGTCGAATGTTGGGATTTTGAGCTTTAAGTCTCCTGATCTCTTCTCTGCCACCAAGAATGAATCTATGTATATGATAATTGTCCTAAGACAAAGAAATCTTTGTTTGTATAAACAGAGATGGATTCTTATTACTTGATGAAGCGATTATAAGCTGATGGAGCTCTTTGCCTCTTCTCTGGGGCTGTAAAATGTGACTAAACTAGTATTAGAATGATAAGTTCTGCTTTATGTTACTCCAGTTCCAGCTATAAATCAAAGTTAAAAGGGAACGCACGCTTGTTGACTGTGGGATTCACACGGACTGTATCTTCTTCTTCATTATCGGAAGAGGTCATCAAGGATGGGCTGCGCCTGTCTGAGGTCTTCCTAGGGGCAGCCATTTCTTCGGAAAATGCTCCCTCTTTTGGCTGCTTGAGAGAAGCACATATAAAATGTTAATGGTATTGATAATCATCTATAATTAATAATGGTATTGGATTAATTTGTTGACAAACTAATATGACCTAATTGCCAAAAAATCTGCAAAGCATATACTTATACCTCATCATCATGACCAAGGGAAGCTAGGAGCTGGAGTGGGACAAATGAGGCTTTCATCATATTGACTGAGAGAAGGCTTGTGCAGTGCCCACATCTCACTGTCACCACCATCGACAAGCTGCTACATGGCACACTTACCTGCACTTTTGAAAGCTAATTATGAGCAGAGTGCTGGAGACTTTAACATATATATATTGTGGGAAAATTACAATTATATACAATGGTGGTTACCAGTAAAATTGTAGTGCAGAAACCACATTGAACATAGCAAATTTGCTCAGGGAGATCAAAGAGATGATTCATTGTTGACATATTTTTTTCTGTTGATTTGTCTGTTTCTGAGAGTTTGTGTGTGTGAGAAAGTGAGGGAGAGAGAGAAGGTGGTTTTGGATATGATTACAATGAGGATGATGTGGGTTTCTGATCCAAGGGAGGTGGGATTAATTTATAGATTGTAGAAGACGCTAATTACAATGATTACCTTTCTCTTATTATTGGTATCTTATACTTATAATTCCTTAAACACTGTGCTTTCATTATTGTTTTTAACCAAAAAATAAGTACTTCCATTCATGGAACAATAAATGATATATCAAGGATATATATGGCAACACAATTTTCTATATCGAACTATTAGCATTTTCTAATTAAGAAATTAATTTAATTGGTTTATATAGTCAAATATGACATTTGGCAAATTCGAAATTCATCATCTATAATTCTTTTTTTATCTCTAATTACAGTCTTTTTTATAAAAAAAAACTATTAGCACTTTTTTTTTTCAAACCCTGTTCTCCCAGTTCTCATCTCTTCTTAGATTTAAAAGAAAAGGAAAAGAAAAAGTTGAAGAAAAATCACTTTCTTGCCAATTCATATTCTGACAAAAGTAATCCTGCCTAGCTTGTCAACGTTGTGAGTCACACTGTTTTAATTAAATTGCTAAAAACTATAGCAAACTTCAACTTGTTTGGTGTTGATGTTTGCCATAAGGTTCAAAGTTCTATAGCCAGTTTGTAAAGGGACTTAGTGCCTATTGGTTTCATGTGTTGTTTTCTCTATTATTTACTCTTCTGTCTCTTTAAGCCCTCAATTCCTTCCCAAGAAAGTGAAAGCGCTGAGAGTTTTACCATTTTGGAGGGAGGGGAAGTTTCTAGAAAAGTGTATGGAGAAGGAAAATAGGCATCTTAGGATTTGTCTTTCCTCAAAGAGGGTAAGTTTGATTGACAAAGAGCAGTGCCTCACTTCAACTTTCCCTGCTGTCTTTGTTCCTGTTACATGGCAACCCTTTATTTTGCAGGTAGCACTAACATCATCCTTAATGCTAACATTTACTTGCCCATCTCCTTCCTTTCACTTCACTCTCTGTTGTTGACTGTCTCAGTACCCCATGTGCTCGCACGTGATGTCCCCACAACCATGGTTCAAAAATAGAAATGTCAGGACAGCCTATATATATTTGATGGTTTTATCATGGAGACAGTTGCATTAACAAAACAGTGAATGATCAACTAAAGCAATGGCTTTGAAATATGGTAAACTCACATTGACTCACTGAGGGACCAATTCTTACCATGAACTTGTCTTGAAGGACCAGTTAGGATAAACATCCAAATTTATGACGATAAGAAATTAGCAGTGATGGCTTGGCAGGAATCAACGAGCTTAGCATCAAGGAATTTTTTGTTGGTACATAAATAAATGGAACGATCAGGTTGGTTTTCTCATTCACCTGTACATTTTCCTTTTTCACCTGGGAATTGTCCAAGTAAAGACATTGCCCTGGGAACTGATAATTTATATATATATATATATATATATATATATATACACGTATATTTGAAATTGTAAGAAATTAATATGATTACTGAAATTAAAAACCTAAAACTTAAGATCACAGACAACTGTTGGTGTTGACTTACCTTTAGGAGCTTTGATTAGACATGTATTGTGCTATATACTTGTGCCTTGCTAAGGAGATATGTTACTTCATTTAAAAATATAGGCAATCAATTAGTTTATACAACTACTCTTAAACTCCTTTATTCAAAAAAAAAAAAAAAAAACCCACTCCGTTGCTCAAGAAAAAAAATATCGCACCATTAATGCGTGGCTAAATCAATTCCACGTTTTGTCACTGAACCTATAATCACAAGAAAATTTTCTGCAAAACCAGTTCTCTAGACTCCAGAGACCATGACCGATCGCTGACCATTATCTAAAGAAAGGTTTCACTGACATTCCGTTTTTCTTTTCATCACAGGTGAAAGGCACCGCAAGCAGGCAACATCATTCCAATGCTCTCCATCACTAGAGGGAGGATGATATCAAAGACGCTTACATGCCCTAACTGTAATATTCAGCACGAGAGTGGATACTGCTTCTAATTGTATAATTATAGATGGAAGAGTTGGGATGGACCTTAGGTTAAGCACCAATCGCACTGGCATTTCAATCAAAATGGTAACAATAAGAACCAGGACGGGAGTGGGCAATAACTAGCTAATTGGCTGCAAAGCAGGATGTCAAAAGGTATTAAATCCCCTTTGGGAAATTAACTTGGATCACAAAAACCACAAGATAATTATACAATTCTGACAGGAATCCTTTTTCCCTTGATTTAATTAGATAAGGAAGATCTGAATCCAGTTCTCGCGATGCCAAACATGCACCAACATTGAACTAAGTTATTCGGTGCAGTACATGCACCAACACTGAACGAAGTTGATGATGTTGAACTAAGTTGTCCGATGAAGTGAGACTGCACCAACATTGAACTATGTTGTTTCGTGCAGCAAACTCAGACAAACTTGAAAATAGCTCCATTAATCATTCAACAAAAAGAAAGATAACTTTGCTTGTAAACGGAAAGAAGGCTTAATAAATGGAAAAATACATCAGCAACTCAGAAGCATACCACAAGCCATAAATTTATTGTTTCTTTCATAAAGTGATAGCATCATATTATCACCATGAGTCCAGTTTCACAAAAAAGGGTATGATAGAACACTAGCGCCAATCACTTTTGAAAGTGATTTTCTAAAATTGGGAACATTTTGTATCTGTGACAGAACAGCTAACTCTTACAAGCTACAGACCCTGTTCTATGACTAGTTTGACACAATGTATAGCATAGTAAATCATTATTATATTTAGAGGTAGACATTACTTGAAACCCACAGCAACATGATCCACAAACCATTGCCCACAGGCAGTCCCCTCAAACATGAATGATACAAATATACATGCAACCAAACATTAAGACAAAAACATCACTGCTCGGTCAGATTAAAGAAATCAAACATTATGACCAGGCCTAAGATTAAAGGAAAACTATGCACGGGAACAAACATTCATATTCTACCAATAATCTCTATGTAATAACATGGATGTGATTTGTGAAGGTACTAAGATAAAAAAAAATTCAGTCTGGATAAATATGACTATGATTCCTTTAATTGGCCAGGCAATGGTCTTCCAGTCATAGTTTAAAATGACAAACAAAGAATCACAGCAGGTCCTGACTAACAAATAAGCAACACTAAGATTTCATTTGTTTCAAAAGTAACTAACTTCAGCTCATGGCAATATCCAAGTGTGAATGTTTATGCATGACAAACTCATTTCTGGGAGCAGAAATATTGGACTAGTATTCTTTGATTTTTTTTTTGAAACAACAAAGAGAAATGCAAATAGCAGGCTACTTGATTTATCTGCTGTAATTCACAATCCTTAAAATACTATTGGATTATAAAACATCATTATTATCTAAAGTGATTTCTATATAGTATCAAATATAAGTCAAACTTATGCGTACTAACCAAAGAATCATTACAATCACCGTACCAAACACAACGAATTAGAACAACAATCAAAGAAAAGGAATGAAGGAACCACATTAGTTAAAATTCCAACAATTACCATCCGCTTCAAAAGTACTAAATTAAATAAAAAGTAGGATTAAAATTAAAACCAAAACAGCCAATGTAAAAACTCATAACAATACCATAAAAATCCAAGGAAAAAACCAAGCTAATCACCACCAGCCTTCTGGTAGACATAAGTCAAGCCACACTTCCCACAATAATGCCTATCGAAATGATTAGCCATAAAAGTGCCAGCTCCACACTCTGCATTAGGGCACTCTTTCCTCAACCTCTGGACTTTTCCAGAATCATCCACCTTATAAAACTGGAGCACAGCGAGCTTCACCTTCTTCTTCTTGTGCTTGATCTTCTTGGGCTTCGTGTAAGTCTTCTTCTTTCTTTTCTTGGCACCACCTCGGAGGCGGAGGACCAAGTGGAGGGTGGACTCCTTCTGGATGTTGTAGTCCGCTAGTGTTCGACCGTCTTCGAGCTGCTTCCCGGCGAAGATTAGGCGTTGCTGGTCCGGTGGGATGCCTTCCTTGTCTTGGATCTTGGCCTTGACATTATCGATGGTGTCGGACGACTCAACCTCCAATGTTATGGTCTTCCCTGTTAGGGTTTTCACGAAGATCTGCATGGTTGCTGCTGGTTTTGCTTTGGCGCGGCCGGGAAGAAGGAGGACTTAGTAAATGAAAGAAGTGGGGGGATTTATATGGCATTTATAGTTAGGGTTAGCTTTCATGTAGTAACGGTTGTGCGGGTTCATGGGTAATTATGCTGTTGCGGACGAGGAATCCGTACGATGTAGTTGTGATGGGGCCCACAGGGAGTGATTGGGTGTTTTGGAGGCACAAAACTTTTAATTTTTTCTATAAACAAAATTTTTCCTTCTAAAAAAAATTGGATTGATGATATGAATGTGTAGCTTTTCTCCTATTGCCTTTTCGTTATATTAAAAAGACAACAAACATAAAAAGGTAAATGCATGAAAATATGGCTAGATTATTTTCCTTATCATTGTTTATTTTAATATCAATATTGTTCAATACTCTAATTATACCCCCCCTATATTTATTAATTCATTTCTTTTATTTATATTTTTTTTATATACATGAAGAAGCTCATGGCTTAAATTATACAAATAAATATATATTTTTTTAATTTATATATAGGCATGTTAATTAATGATATAAAATTAGAGATAATTCCCATTTTGTATTTTTCTTCTTAATATTAGGATTTTATTTCGTTGATTAATGTTTAGATTTGAGACCTTTAAGTTAAAGTTTCAAATTTTAATCATTGAGATCTATACTTTACAATTAAAATTATCTTCTTCCTCACATTGAATAGTTCATATTTATCTTAAAAATAATTTAAGGGGGTAATTTTGAAATTAAACTTCTAATACAAAAAGACAATTCAATAAACAAACCCAATTTTCAACTTCACATAAC